CGTACGTAGGCGCACCTGACGCGTGTTTACATGACAACGTGCGTGCTCGCAGGGGTGGGGGACTTAAAACATTTTTTTTACATTTTTACATTTAATTTATTTAATATTATTTTTTAAACTGTTTTTCTCCTTACAAGCCCCACATGTAATAGCATAATGGCAGTGACAGGTACTCTTTAAGGTTATGCTGGGGGTCCAAAAGACCCCCAGTGTTACCTTTACACTTGAAATAAGCTATTGAAGTGAAGATCACACTTCAATATCTTATTGCTGGGCTTCAGGAGCCCAGCACTGACAGCTATGGGACCGGAAGTGATGCATAACGCGTCGCTCTTGCCCAGGAAACAAGGCCGGGGGGGGCGGCCCGGTTACCGGATTGTAGAAGCGATCTGGCGCAGTTGAGCCGCCAGCATCGCTTCTACTGTAAAGCTGTACGCCTGCTCTACAAAACGGAAGTTTGTGTAACCCCTTCCGACTTCATGATGGGATTATCCCGTCATAGGTCATGAAGGGGTTAAGAAGTCCCCATGATCACTTCTTCAAAAAGTGACAGTTAAGCTTTTTTGCCTGGAGTTGCGAGTCTTCTTTCCTGGAGTCTATTTAATCTAATTTATGAACAACATTACACTAGCACCATAAATCTGGCGCAAATATATCCCATGCAACCATATGTGAGTTCAAACACTCGCAATTGCTATGATAGATTTGCCCCATTGTGTTTTTATTTAGGTTTTTTTTTTCGTTTACGGGGGGGAAGATATAAAGAAATCCGAAGTGTAACACTATGTGAAAAAGTAAATCCCTATCAATCTATATACAAAATATTGTATAAATTCTGGATATTAATAAGATGAAATGTGTCAACAACCAAAGTACAATCAAACATTGACAGTGCAATCCATCATAGATCAGTATATTCTCATAGTAAATGTTACAATTCATTAGCTTAGATCAAAGTAAAGAGTGCCCCTTCAAATAGAATCCCAAATTATTGCTGTGTAATAGGTTCACCCCAATTATTCCATCCACAGTTTTTCTTTTTTATAACTTTTTTATAACGTTGTTCTGATCAGCACAGGCACATCCTTTTTCTTCTTCAGCTACAATTCCATGTTAAAATAGGTCAAATAAGATATCTGGACCATTGTGTATCCCAAAAAAACACTTTTATTTAAAACACAGATTAAAGACACTTCTCTGCACAGTAGAACTCACTCCTGCGCTACCCTTGCTGGTGCTTCCAGTCTTACACAACCATCACTTTTGGCACCTCCTACATGATGACTTCACCACGTGCCCGATATATCTTGATTTTAGGTTCAACACTTACCACATTAACATGGCCTGCATTCCCTTGATGCTTCTATTCAGTCTCTCTTCAGTTAGAAGTTCTGGGAAACATTTAATCACTGAGCAGCTACGGGAGAACTCAGGCAGGTTGAGGACAGAAAAATTTTCTAGGTGTGTAGATTTGCAGAGTCAAGGATGGGAAAGTGATATTTTGTATGCACACTACACTGCTGAACCAATAATGAGAGAGTCTTTGTTTTTTTGTGTGTGTTTTTTTCAGTGTATCAGTATATGTCTTTCATACATAGTTTGCTCTAGGTTTATATCAGTACTGTTACAGATCAGCTCAGTTCCTATCTTGTACTTACACTGGTCTGGCATCTTTAGGCGTCACCCAATCTTACCTGCTGATTCTTACGCAGCCAATCAGTACTGTCAGCTTGTGGCCAATCCACTGGTTCCTCCTTATAACTGCCGTTTCATGTACCGACCTTTGGCTTGTTCCTGGTAATCATTGCTTGCTGCCTGTCCTGACCTTTGGCTTGTCCCCTGGTGACCATCGTCCATTGGTCCACTGGACCCTATTCATTCCCACAGCTACCTCATGTATCATTTCCCCCTCCTCTTTTAGATTGTAAGCCCTCAGGGGCAGGGCCCTCCTTACCATCTTGTCTTGAATTGTATTGTAACTGTTATGTCTTCCTTATATTGTAAAGCGCTGCGCAAACTGTTGGCGTTATATAAATACTATGTAATAATAATAATAATAATTGTTAGCTGAGTAGCGTGAACCTAGGAGCCATGACCTGGGGTCGGCACACAGCAAAATCCTTCTCCACCATCAAGAGCTCTAGTGAATACCGGCTGGCTCTTAGACTCCACATTCTACAGGATCCCACGCTACCTTCTCTGCATAGCAGCATTCTGCTTTGTCCACACTTCAAGTTGTTCTTTACTCTGCCAAACCTGGCTCCCAGTCAGCCAACACTACTCGCACCTCCATTACCATCCTAGGCATCCCGCAAGTGTATCCAGGGACACACATCCTTGAGTCCAACCCTGACAGTTTAACATTTCCGCCTAAAGGTCTTTCAGTGCTATCTTTTCTATAAATTCCTATTTTGTTAATGTTAGTAGTTGCTAACAACATTAGTAATGTTAATTAGCAATCTGTCAACTTTGGCATTAACTAGAGGAGCTCATCCATCTTAGAGTGTTTGTGAACTGGTGTAAAGGCTCCTTAAACAGCTTTGCTCAGCATAGGTCCATTTTCAATAAATCAGGAATGTTCCCTGTAGCCAGCAGAGATTCTGAATTCTTGCTCAATACTGGTACTAAATAGAAACATTTAATGGAAACCTGTGCTGAGAGAAATGGTAGGCTGTTATTGCTGACCCCCTTCTGAAAATGCTTATGGTCTAGTGAAATGGCTTTGATTATTTTTCCAGTCACTCCTGATCTTCTTAGTTAGTAAGTTAGAAACAACTGAAGGCAAGTAATCATAATGGCAGCCAGGCTTGGAAACCTTGGAACTCAACTGGTCTTCATTGATCACCGTGGGCCAGACACTGAAGGCAACATTTATGGTAGAGCAAAACACTGCAAAACCTACACTATAATAAGCATTGGGGTGTATTTGGGTGTGCTGTATTCATGGTGTAGGATATCAGAAAAGGTCTGTACTCCTAGGAATGTTCTCTAGCCACAAGCATAGAGTAGGAATTGAGGAGATTGTTAATATCAGACACTGTTTATGTGTGACTGGGAAACGTCTTTGTGCTCAGCAGACACAACGCCTCTTTGTGAACTTACTAACAACCCACATAAGCGTAGTCTGAGCTGCTCATTGTTGCTGTGTAAGCCACAGCAATCTTTGTTAATAAGAATACAGCTTATCTAAATATAAGAGTCTACAGTAGCAATAGTTATTACAATGTTGTACACAGTTACAGGTAAACAGTGAGTCTGTGTTTGTTACAACTCGGATAATGGGAGACAGAACAGTCTAGTTTGGTATGCAAGGAAAGTTTATTGCAAGTATTACAGTGGCTGCCACAACGTATGTTTCTATAAACAGAATTCCCCCAGTATTAAAGTTTTTCTTTTCCTGGATATATTTTCCTAGCAAAAAAAAAAAGTAATACCAAAGTTTTTCTTCTAATGTTATTGTTTAATAAAAAAAAAAAAGTATGTCTGCCCCCACACAAGGTGCACCATGCATACAGAGTGATATCTGTATATAGAAGGCATGCCCTCTAATATGTTGACACCCCCCTCTATGTTCTTTAGCACCGAGTGTGTACTTCCGAGCGGAACCACTCTGTGAAAACACCAGATGGGAGGGAATGGGCACCTTCTCTTCCGCACCTCCAGTGCACCAAAGAAAAAGCTACATTAGTTATCTATTAATTAGATGGGTGAAAATGTACAATGTAACCGCTCCTAGTAGATGTAGGTAAGTTGTTAGCTCCCGCCATGCAAATCAATTGTTTTTGGTACTGTTATCTTGCCACTGAGATGTAGGTATGGGACTGTGTATTTTCAGCTACTAATAAGGTAAATATAGATATATTTAGGGGTTAATTTAGTGTTAGGGGTTAGCTTAAGGCTTAGGCTGGCTTGGGTCAAGTGTTAAGGTTGGGCATAGGATCAATTTTTAAGGTCAGGTAAAGGTTACGTTTCTGGTTAAGGAATAATCAAAAACCGCAATCTAGCTTTTAGGTATTTAAAATAAAATTGCCCAGGCCCTAAAAAAGCTGCTTTCGCTGCAATACGCATTGTAATTCTTGCACTGTCCCCCACAGACTCATTGCTTTAAAGTCCAGCAGCAGGCTTCTTCTGGGTTAATTGATGCCCAACTTGATTGAAACCCACTTCCTATGAGCCCAGAGAATCAAGGTCACGTCCCCTGGAATGTGCCATTAAGCTTCCCTGGGCCCACATGGGAATGCTGCAGAGAATGTGGCACTGTTGTCTCCAGTATTAAGGACCAGCTCACCAGTGAGCTGCCAGTTAAAATCATTTCACTGACTTGACCACTCTGAACTCAAATCTCATGCTATGGCCTACTTCACTATAAGGCTATCGATAGATAATCTGCTTAATAAAATTCCTTCTTCCATGATTGTTAACATATCAAACATGTTTTCTATATTTTCCATCCTATAATAATCTTGCTTTCAGTTGGCTTTACAGTACAGAAATATTTGCAGCCAGCAAACTGATATAGTCATGATCCTCTATTAAGGACTAAGAGTTACATTTTAGTTTATTAATAAAAAAAATTATATAAACTCACATTGCAAAATCTTTCACACTCACATTGCAAATTCCCACAAGCATTCAGCTTTGAAAAATCAGCACTTTAAGGAGATAGTATGTAGCAGAGCAGGGCAAAGTCCAGCTATTTACAATAAACAGAGTCTGCAACAAATGAAGCTTGCTTAGTTGGCATGTTTATTATATGAAGTCTTCTGTGTATTCTGGTAAAGATGACAACATTGCAAAAAATCAATATTATTTTACTTAACTCTTAACTGCAAGCAAGTATACGATACGTTTCTGCTCACACATTTATATACAGCAGTTTGCTGAATGCTTGCGAAATCACAGTAAAATGAGACATGGAAAGCGCTATTCAAGTAGTCATGGTCTTGGAAGGGGAGGGGGGGTGTAGGGGATTGGTAGTAGTGTACCTCCTCTTTTTCAGGATTCACAGTAGTATTAGCTTATATGTGGGTGATTGGCCAATTATGGCCTGCGGTTTGCCTGCACAGCTACTCTGATTAGGTAGTTAGAGGGTACATAGCCCCTCTGTCCGCTCACTTCCACCAGGCTCCATTCAGGGCGTCCTTCTTTGTCATGTGGCTCCAGAACTTTCACAGGGTCTCCAGCCATAATGCTGACCTCATAATTACTACGAGCCGTGAATGGGTATCCGGCAACAATCTGAAAGGGAAGAAATTGCCATTATTATATTACATAATTTACATATGTATTGACACCGGAAATAGACATTTCATTTCTGATTGGATATCAGTGAAATACTAACCGTATCCCTTTTCATTGTGAACAGTTGGCATTATTTTTATGCATGTGCTATAAATATACCTCTAAAATTTTTTATGGAAGCATTTCCAGAAGATTAGTGGGGGTTTTAGCTAACACATGCTGTGCTTTGTCAGAGAAGTAAACACATGCTGTTACTGAAAATGTATAAAAAGAAGCCTATCCAAAAGTGTAAAGCTTGTTTTACAAAGTCTTTAACAATTAGGGATGAGCTTTGTACTCGTGTTCGACCCAAACCCAGCCTGTTTGCAGTACAGCGAACCACTAAACAAACTAACCATATCTGGCCATTTCACCCACCTTGAGTTCCTTGCTGGTGAATGTAAACAAAGCAGCCTGGGATCTCAGGTGATGTCATTGTTCCAATATGGCCATGAACATATTGATCAGTGATGTCACCCAGGCCCTCTTGTTTACATTCCAGTAGCTCCAGAAATTCTATAATTTTGTGGTGGTAGTGCAGTGGAGCAACATCATCGTGGCGGTAGGGAAACCATGTTGGGTGGCGGAATTTACATCGCTGGACAATATGACTGATGATCGATTTAAATCAGGGGATATAGTTTTCATTTTTTTCGTGTGGTGGGGGAATGTTATTTTTAATTAAAGGACTTTGTCATGGAGTGGGATTCTTTATTTACTATTACTACTGTACTCATTACCCTGGGTAGTGGGTGTATATCTGGGGGTTCTATTTTCCTAAAGGGGCTTCTAGACCCCTATAGGTCCCTCTTCACACCCCCCACATTCAGTCCCCAAGAGGATGAGGGGGTTTGGGGAGGGGGACAGCAAGTACTTTTCTGATGTTGACAGGCATGTGGCCTGGTATGGTACAGAAAGGAGGGAGGGGAGGTATACACTTGCTGCCCTACCTTTCCTAGCCACCAAGGCTGCCTAGATAAAGGTTTGGTTTAAATTTTGGACTGAACCCACTCTGCCCCCCCCCCTTTTTTTCTAGTTTCAATGGTGCTTATTATTTTTCAACAAAACATTACATAATATGTATAACGTAAGTTATTAGGACATTTGCATCCCTACCCTAGCAAACCTCCACCCGACATAGCAAATTTGAATCAGAAATCATGGCCAAAGAGAGCCAAAGGATCAGCCAAAGCTACGGCTGTATACTTTGGCTCCATAGTGAATAACCCCCTATGTATTATCTCCCTTTTTTGGTCTAGGAGTATAGCTTACATAGGGACCTTTGTGGCTATCACTCCTATCCCTTTCACCCTGCGGGTTGTGGTTCGGTCCTCTGGGACATTCTCCTGAGCCTGGCTTACATCGGTCCAGTCGTGTATACACAGATTGCTTTTTGAGTCGGTAGTGGTGGTTGTGGTGCAGTGGGTTGCTGGGTATAGTTCAGAAAGGGGGTGAACGCTCCCTGCCCCCCCTTTTCTGGCTACCCAGGCTACATGCCTGGATAAGGGACTGGTTTTAAATTTAGGGGAACCCCATACTGCCCCCTTTTTTAAAATGTCACTTTTAAAGCACTGCATCGTACTATGACATAACTTCTCATGCAGTTTTGAAGTATAATTCCACTTTTGCAGTCAAATTTTAGAAAACCCCACAATATATTTTTTAGGTGTTTCTATTCACACAGCACACCTAAAAATAATTTGTAAGAATTTTTAGATACTGTATTTCTTGATGAAGGCCTTTCTGCAGATTCCAAGCTACTCTGAGCAGTTTAAAAGTAAAACTATAGTGTCAGACTGAGGGTCAGACTGAGCTTTTTTTTATTAACATACAATGCCTGGAAGGCTTTAACACTTTGTTAGGACAGACAGTGTTTAAAGTCCATTTCCACCTTTGTAAGTGATTAGCATCCATTGTTAACTATTAACAAAACTGTATCTTATTTGTGCATTACTCAGCTGTAGATCCTCAAATCATCTCTAAAATTCATGCTGACACTGTCCTACCATTTACATGGTGGCTACTTTTGTTCTCCATAGTCTCTGTGTGTGTTGTAAAGTAGCCACCGCTCTAAACTCGCTCCTGTGATGGACTACAATCTCAATTCAAATTAACTAACTAAACATGAGATTGTAGTCTATCACGATAGCAAGCTTGGAGTGGTGGCTACTTTACAACAAACACAGGGACCATGGGGAACAAAGGTAGTCACCCTCCAAAAGTAAGGACACTGTCAGCACCAATTCAGAGATGATTTGAGGATCTACAGCTGAGTGATACCCAAATAAGATACATTTTTGTTAATAGTTAAAGTACTTGAATGCAATTTAATGATTTATTTCCTGGGTTTAATGCTATGTAAATAGGAACATATAACAAATATAAAGTAGATGTTATTCCAGTTTGGCTGCAAAAGTGGAACTACACTTTAAGGCATCCCCAATTAATTTATTTAAAAGATTTGTGTATTCTCAACAAGCCTGTTAAGTCTCATGAATAGACCCTCTCCCCACTGACCTCCCATGGCAGTGACCAGCTATCCATGCCATTTTTTTTAATGATAACCTACAAATTAACCTAGAAAAGCCAGAATAAAATAACGATTCAACTCCCATAAACTTCAATAAGGTTTGGCCCTATGTTCAGGGTTTGCAGACCTCCCAATGAACTTTGCCCAGTTTATTCATCCCTATTAACAATAAGCAGTTGTTACTTTGAAAAGTAAAAAAATAAGCAATTGCTATATGTAGCAACGATCCTTCTCACTTTAAGGCCCCTTTCACATGGGCGCCTTTAGTTCTGATCAGGAGGAGATCCATACATGGATCCCACGCTGATCTGAGCAGTTCGGAATAAATGTAACCAGACCCATGTTGGTCTATGGGGATTCAGATTATCCCTGATCCGGCATAAACAGGTCTGATGAAACAGACCTTTGTTCCGTTTGTTATATTGGACTTTCGGGGGGTAATCGGATGTAACTGGATGCCTGTCTGTTTAGATCCGGCTGCCCATAGAATAACATTGGACTTCTGCTTAGATCTGCCTGAAAAACTGACAGGCAGAACTGATCGGAATGCCGTGTGAAAGGGTTCTAATACATATTTATTAAGTATGTAGTGTGAAGAATATTTTCCCTCTTTCTGCCATCTGTACTTTGTAATTCCCAAGGGTTTGCAGGTTCTGTCCATTCTCATTGGTCACCACAGACAACACAAGTACAAAACAAGATAGCCTAAAGCAAACATTGTCATACTGTCAACTTCTGTGTGCAACACGTTTCTGACACTTGAATCCAAAATATGTTTTCTCCTAAGTGGCCAGTACAGCAGTGACTGTGCTTTATCTGCATTAAGGTCAACTTTATAGAAAACAGTCCGTGTGTGGTTCCTGCTAACCTGAATTACATGCTGGCTTCTTCTTATTACTCAAGTGGCAACATATCTCCACCATAATTACCAATTCTGCCCCAAAGCTAGAGAGACAATAAAGACAAATAATGGTATCAATCTTTTCAAGACATATGAAGCTGCAACACTTATATCCAAGCAATGTGAACAGCAAATAGCTGATGAATTTAAAGCAAAACTCCAGGCAAACAGCCAAATATAGTTTATACGTTTAAATGCATACACCTTTACTGTTTTACCTACCAAAAGATTTCCAGTCCTGTTCAGTCAGTCTACCACACTGCACAGTGAGGCAGGTGACACACTTATTTCTGCAATTTAGTATTCTATGTTCTACCTCCTGCCTACTTATGCCACAATGAAAAAGCATCATCACCTCTGTCCAGTTACTAGAGAAATGGTCCAAAGGTAGAAAAGTAAAACATGGAAACTAAAGCAGCAAGTAGAATACTTAGGCAGCTTGTATGTATTTGAGTCTTGCATTTAGCTATTTGTCTGCAGTGACGTAATTAACATATGCGTAAGGCTATAGCCGGAGGTTCGCGTGCTTTCCGTATTATCGAGAAACATGCGCTAGTGTGCACGCAACATATCAGTGCTGAACGGTCTTTCAGCTTGTGCTCCTATGTTCCTTCTAGTTTGAGTGCCTGTTGCCTTGACCCGGATTGCTTTGGCTTCGACTGATTGCTGCCAGCCCTTGACCTCTGCTTGTTCCTGGATTCTGCCTCTGCCTGCTCCTTTTGTACCGTGCTGACCGTGTGGCTTTGACCCCTGGCTTGTTTGACTTTGCTCCAGTTTCTGCTGCCACCACGCTGATCCCTCAGCTGTCTACAAGCTCTGTCTACCCTTCCCAGGGAACCTGTTGCTGGACTCTGCCGGGCACTGGGCCTGAACACCTTGGCACCCGCGCTCCTCTGTGTCTGCTCGCTCCCTGTCCCCACTTCCAGGGGTGTGAGACAAGAGCCACAAGGGAGGCCTCCTCATCTAAATCAGTCCTCTACCAGGTACGTGATGATATGTAGACTCATTTAATAAGACACTGCAGGGAGCATTGGTAATAGTGCAGTAGCCCAAACTGTCCAATCCGATTTCACATTACTGTAGTTAAAGTGTATCTAAAGCAAAAGTGTTTATATTAGTTTCAGTTGTCTGGGGAAAGATTGAGACTCCTGTCAGGTGTTTCTCCCATTGGAGCATCCCTTACTAAGATTTCTTAACTTCCTGTCTGGCAAAAGACTATCTTCAGGGCTGGAAGTGAGGGGAAATCTCTCTAGCAGCAAGATTAGAAGACAAATGCTAGAACATGTCAGTTTTTATTGTTGTCTGTTTCACTGTTACAGATTTTCCCTCACTTCCTCTTCTTGTCTCCAGAACAGATCTGAAATTCTCTAATGGAGCCCCCGAGAGCATAAAACCAGACAGGGGTTCTAACAGTTCCCTAATCTATACAAAACACTAAAAAAAGTTTTGGGTATAGACACACTTTAATTTATTTGAGGTAATTTACGTGCACCTTGGGAATGATCACTGCTACGTGTTAGTGCACTGTGTACACCATAA